GCTGCAGCATTTTGGACCAGTTGTAGACGAGCAATGGAGGACTGACTATATATATTCAATATAGTTGAATCCATGTTTTAGACCCCTTTTTTAATTCAGATAAACTTATTTTTCTTGAAGTTAAATACACTCACCTGTGTTGGTACCTTTATTTTCACAAGTAGCTTCATCTTCCTGCTGTGAGTGTCAGAATAAAAAGTGTTTCTGCTGAATGTTTTCATGTTCTTTGCTGTTTTAACACTTTTTCTGCTTTCTTTTGACAAACTGTGCTCCCCTGCAGTTGATCAAATCACACCCTAGATGGCAGCAGAGCGTCACACCTGATCATTTCTCTACTTCCTGGTGGTTCTGCAGCTTTCTGCCAGGCTGCCTAATGTTTTCACTGCCAACATGTTGTTTGTTTGTTTGTTGCATCATGTTATTCTTCTGAGAACATTTATTTAACAGGGATTGGAGCTCCAGAAATCAGAACACTGTTGTAAAACAGAGAGATATAATTTCAGACTTTATATTAAGATTCAGATATTTTTTGTTGCCATTCGCACCACATGTGGTACTTGTGGTGGAACGAAATTATGTACATAGGGTCCCAGTTACATCCAACAATAAAATGTAAAAGAAAAATGGTAATAAGCTCTAAGATATGAACTGAGTAGGGGCCAAGATAGTGTAGGAGAAGGGCAGCCAACCCATGATCCGAAAGCCCAGGGCTCGATCCCCAGTCATTGCACATCTTGTCGTGTCTCTGAGCAGGACACCCAATCACCAATTGCTCCTCGGGCACTTACATAGCTGCCCACTGCTCCACCTGGGTGTATCCCAGGTGCGATGGATTAAATGCAGAGAGCAAATGTTTTATTTGTATGGGAACATACAGTGATGACAACACATAGCACTTTTTTTTTTTTTTCCCTTGTCCTGTCCGGCATTGTGACACTTAGAATTATTGTCTGAGTGTCAAAGTGATGCCCAACAGATTTACTTTCACAAGCAGAGCATTATGGCTGGCCTTAATGCTCCACTTGATATATAAAGTAAATTTTATTAGAATATGCTTTGGGTTTGTTTCAGATGTAATGGACACGGGGACGGAAAACAAAGAAGATAACAAAGCAGAAAAGTGAGAGAAGAGTTCAAATGTAAAGAAGGAGATAGGAATAGAAAAGAGAGAGAGGTATAAAGAGAACACAAATCAACATCATTGAAGTCTGACTGTAGACCTGCGGAAAGAGAAAAATAAACAAAAAAACCTTGACAAAACCAAGAAACCACAACAAACAACTTATATAATGATAGTTATAACATCATTAGAAAGTATTTTATACATTACATGGTAATACAATATATATTTAGTGGCCACCACAACCCAACTGAGTGTGTATCTGATAAACACCTGAATCTAAACACCTGTGTGAGCATGCTTGTCACTATAAGGTTTCTCAATAAAAATGTTCAATAGTGGATGTGGGGACCCACAGACCCGTCCCCACAGGGCATGATGGTAACACAGGGAAGACCAGAACCACAGACACACAGCGGCCCCCAAACCCGGAACTCCGGGAGTCCCCCAACAGGAACTACAAAGTATTAACACTACAAAGTAGTCCGCTACAAAGACGCTACAAAGTATTAAAGCAAGGGGGCCAAATAATATTGCACGCCCCACTTTTCAGTTTTTTATTGGTTAAAAAAGTTTGACACATCCAATAAATTTTATTCCACTTCATGATTGTGTCCCACTTGTTGTTGATTCTTCACAAAAATTTGAAATTTTATATATTTATGTTTTAAGCCTGAAATGTGGCAAAAGGTTGAAAATTTCAAGGGGTCGAATACTTTTGCAAGGCTATCTCTCTCTCTCTCTCTCTCTCTCTCTCTCTCTCTCTCTCTCT